AGCTGTTTGTGGACAATTACTATTGTAGAATAAAACTTGGCAACGTTGTGTGTGAATGTAACTGTGGTTGAGTTACGAGGAGGGGAAGAATGATGTAATACTCATCAGAACAACCTATAGCAGTGTTTCTCAACTTTGGAAAATTAAAGAGGGGTGGACTTCAACCCCAAAAATCCCCCAGCAACCCATGCTGGCTGGGGAATTCTGGGAGTTGAAGTCCACCCATCTTAAATTTGCCAAGGTTGAGAAACACTGCTATAGGTTGTTCTGATGAGTATTACATCATTCTTCCCCTCCTCGTAACTCAACCACAGTTACATTCACACACAACGTTGCCAAGTTTTATTCTACAATAGTAATTGTCCACAAACAGCTGAGGCTAGTTTGATACTGGCTTATTTTACATAACTTTTATACTATTTAAGATGAGTTTTTCACTGTCGATATAGAATTGTTGTTTTATTTCACTCCTGTTCATTGTTTATGATCTTTAACCACAATGCGTTTGTATCTATCTATCCATCCAATTTTCTGGTTTTTCCCCAAGGTATTAGATGATACACTAATCAAACAGGCTGGGATTTCAAACACCCTAACCTACACACACAGAATCAAAATTATCCTCCCCGCACAGGCATCTTTATTAACATTAACAAATATTTATTTATTTATTCGATTTGTGATGGCCACCCAACTCCAGGAAGATTTAGCACGTCCTGTGAATGTAGCTTCCCATTTTCCTAATGACTTAGTTAAACAAATCACAAGAACACAGTCTACATATCAATTGCAAAATTGGTCTTTTGTTCAAGGAGACTTTTTGGTTTTGGAGGAAGATGAGCGCGGCTTTAAAATTGGAGGAAGGAACATCAAGAGCCGGTTGAGGACACGACTCTGATAGCCGAAAACGCAAAGGATCTGCAGGCTCGCGTAATTAAAGTCAAAGAGCACAGTGAAAACATGGACCAAAATTAAATATCAAGAAGACCATACTATTGACACTAAAAATCAGCCTTCATTAATAAGTTTGTGAAATTTGGTGAGGGATGCTCAGTTTGTATTCCTCGCTAAAAGCAGCCCACTGGTTGTATCAAGGAAGGGGGACGGGGTGGCAAAAAGAATTATATTAAGATACTGGAAAAGGGATATTATTCCAGAGGTCAAGGAATGGTTGTCAGAAATGTGCGATCGATCTGTTTTGAAAAAGGCAATATTTTCTCCCAATCAAAGGATGCAGCAATGTGTGTTATTATGGCAGGGATTCTGTGATATCTTACAATAATATCTTTTTTTTTTTTTTATTATAGTAGGAAATTCATTAGTAAACCAGTGACACTTGATAAGTATAAAATACAAGACAGATTTTTCTTTTCCTTCTTAGTTTGCATTTTTAATCTTTTTTACCATTTCTTCTTTTTAAGATTAAAGGCTGTTTTGTTACAAAAATATATTAAAGTAAATAAAAAATAAAAGCGGCCCACGTTTTTTCTGAGAAAATGTCTAAGGTTCACTCAAAGAGGCAACAAAATCCATATTAGTCACAATTGTGTGGAATGTTTAAGCTAGTTACCAGATTAATCCGTTTCGGGGATTCATACCCCAAACCTTAAGCAAACCCGATGGGCTGGGTTGGCACAACGCGTTTGGACACACATACCCCTAACCAAAATTAAAACTAACCAAGATTGGCCTGTTGTGCTTTCGTGATGGGGTTGCAGCCCCTATCGTCACTTTTTCAGCCCCTCCTGCGGAGGCTTCTGACTAAACTTTATGCTTGGCCGTGGCATTCGATCAGGTCCCCCGCCACAGCGACGCAGGGATGGAAAAATCAGAGTAATCTTTCGCCGTTTTGAAAACACAGCGTCACGGGTTCTTTTTTAAACTGTACCCGATTAGATTGACCCAGTCTCAAGAGAGACACAAAAGCACTGAACCAGTGTTTCTCAACCTTGGCAGCTTGAAGATGGGTGGACTTCAACTCCCAGAATTCCCCAGCCAGCCATGCTGGCTGGGG